ACCACTTCATTTTTAATTCTTTTTAATCTTTAATGTAGGCCCTATTTGACAAAGACGTGGGAGCAATGTAAATTGAATTTTTTCAACAACAAAAAAAAAACAGTGAAGTAAACAGACAAAACCATGGCAATTCGTGTATTATTTTATATGTACACATCAAAAAACAACTGTACCTTTTTAGACTGGATTTGCATGCTATGCTAATTGTACACTGAATTTACCCCAAGCCGTGACAGATTTCTGTTTTGCCCTTTTCTTTTCTGTTTACCCCATACGCACGTTTGTAAATATAAAGTCGCTTCCAGGCACCTGCGAAATATAGTACAAATTCATTCATGTGTTACTGCAGAAAGTATGCAAATAAAACTCCCCATATTAAGCGATGTAGGCTAGGCTATTTCCATATTTGTATCTTTGTAGTTATTACGAATGTCAACATTCTGCCAAAATATTTAACACAAATGCATAAACAATACAAATGTTCATCGCAAATTATCAATTTCTTTTTAATGTTTTGATTTAATTCAATTTACAGTAAAGAATGAGTAAAATAGAACGATAGGCTACCAGCTGCTAAGAATGAGTGAATAATGGCTGTAATATTGTGTTGAGCCAAATCACAGATAAGTATTCTACAAGAACCCTTTTTCTTGAGCGTAACGGTGCTGCCATCTAGTGGCACATATACACTTAAAAATAAAGGTGCTTCACGATGCCATAGAAGAGCCTTTCTGTTTCACAAAAGGTTCTTTGTGGCGCCAACAAATGCATTTTCGAATGCATACTTGCGGTGTACATATACCAATTGCTCAAGTTAAATCCAAACCCAATGCCACTTAGACATCGGTTTTTAGTTATAAGAATACAATAAATACTCGCACCAGAAATTAAATGCAATCCTAATAAATAATCCAGATTATCACTTGGCTTTTTATTTTTGCATTTTCGAAATCAATTAAACCAACATTTTTAATCTAAAAAAATAAAATAAAATAAAAAAACTATATCAACAGTTATTTTTTGTACTGTATGTTTTTTTTATTTTTTTTATTTTTTACTTTTCATCAACTTGTGCTTGTTACAGAGCTGATACAAATGCATTTCAAATAAAATGATACATTTTAATCGTTACTGTTTCATTAACAATTGCCAGTTGACTCGGTTCTATTCTATACTATTCTACAAATGCATAAAATAACAAAACATATACATTTAGAGAAAAAAAAAACGTTTAGTAAACTAAAATTAAGGCGGGTTTAATAAATTAATGTTGTAGTATCAATATTGATACTACAACATTAATTTATTAAACCCGCCTTTTACCTACTTTACAGGCCTATTTAGATTATTATTTCAAGTCAAATGATGAACTGAATCAGACGAAAGCGTGCTATGAAAGTGTTTTAACATTAATTTTTGGCCTGTCTATTTTATCGCATTTATTCCCAGTGAAGGACACACAACGCCGTTCGTATCAACAGTTTTATTTTACTTTGTTTGCTTTCCATGCAGGTCCGCACTTCTGATAAATGTGGTCTCATGCAAAAATATACAGTTCAGCGTGGCATCACCAAACTTTAGCGAGCAAGTGCAAGGCAAAGGTTGGGTTTAGAGTCGCTCGTCGCTCCCCTCAATGTGTCGGAGATCAGAAAACCAAAAAGCAGTCATTTTTGGGAATATTGTTTTCTATATTTTTAATATTACATACAAACTCACCTACTAATAACACACTCAAAACGCACAAAGACACATGCCATGTCCAAACCTATATTTTCAAAGAGCCGGTCCCACTTTATATTTAGTGGCCTTAACTATGTACTTACATTTAAATTAATCATTTGGCACAATGCACTTATTGTGTACATACATGTTTTTACATTGTACTTCTATTTTTAAAAATACCTGCATGAAATTACATCTGTAATTAATTTCTGTAATTACATTTATAATTACACTGTTGACCCATTCCTTACACCTTAACCCACTCTTAAACCTACCCATACAACCAAACCTGTCCCTAACCTTAACCGTATACCACCTCAATAGCAGCAAAAGTGTTTTGCAATAATATGAACACAATAAGTACACTGTACTTATTTTTTGATGTAAGTACATAGTAGTTAATGCCACTTAATATAAAGTGGGACCCAAAGAGCCTTTATAATAAAGTTTCATCGTACGTCATTTCTATAAAAAAAAAAAAAATTTAAAGTGGGCCCTCAACTGCACTGCGTCAAAATGCAGCAAAAAGACAATCTAGGCCTATTAAATGCACCAAAGCGTATAAGGCCACTCGACAGTAATATCACATTTTCACATCAAAATTAAATTGTCGTTTCTTTTCTTAATCACAAACAAATGTCTTCTATAAAAGCAAATTAAAAGCGGACTATATTCGATGAATGCATTCTTTTTGAAATATAGACTCTTGCTACGATCAAGATTTAAAATGATTTTCATTTACAATCATAATAATAATACGTTTCTAGACGTCATTAAACGCGTAAAAGAATAGGCTATATATAATTCAGTTTTTCCAAATGAAAGATCTTTGCTATTTAAATAAGTCTAAATTTGTTTAAATTAATGGAATTAAAATGATTGTGGACTTAATTGCACGCCAAATAGAATTATGCTTGCAGCTTTATCGCTTTTACGACAACTGAACGCTTTACAATTTTAGATAGCCTACTTGGGTTCAGTTTGGGAGAGAAAAAATCCAAAGACAGCTTTTCAAAGTGGATTGAAAAAATCCTCGAACACAGAACAAATTTCATTTGTTCTTAGTAGTATGAAGTGATGACAAATTGGCTTGGACTGTACCAATTACTGTGCTTCTCAAGAAAGAAGTGCTAACTTGATCCAGTGCGAAAAGTTATCGGTCCTTTGCCCAATTCATTCCCTAATTCGGGTGAGTCGAAAATAATACTAAAGAAAATGCCAAAGTTTCGTGCAATATTTCAATAGGCTAACTCGTGGAAATTCTTAAACCTCATCCGGGGCGCTGTTTGGGCTATTTGCAAACTACCACTTACAAAGTGGTGACCCTCACCCTTCCCCGAACTTGAGATCTTGTTCTCAAACTCTTAAACATGCCAGAACTCAATGTAAAGTTTAATCTGTTTATTTGTAGTCATATGGTGCCAGCCAGTTCAGTAACGCTACAGTGAATGCCATCTTCTATTATAACATATAATTGTAATAATAAAAATAATACAGACCAAACATGCATGATAACCTTCTATCTACACGTGCATTCGATCTTATGGTCTTAAACCTGGAAGATGTGCTAAAAGCATCACTTTCACCCGATACAACGCATGGGCCGTTGTCTCTCGTTAATATACTGTTATCCGTGACTTCAGGTCTCATTGAAGTTCACGAATTCCAAGTAGGTGGCGTCTCATGATCACTCTCCGACGGCCATGGCTTGTCTGAGCTGACAATGGCTGGAGGAAGATACCAAGAACACCATAAAACCACGTCTGTCCTGGACTGGTTTTAGTTTTCATTGCCTCTCAGCGCAAGATTACTCATTAAAAGCCCTAATATTGACAATATTGATAAAGGAAATTTAAACCAATCTCCCAAACAGCTCGTTTTCGTTGTTGAACATGGCAGCCGTTAATTGGGACTATTTTATTGAATATTCTTTTTTTGAGCAATCTTCTTTTTTTATATTCTCTCTTTTTTCTTCTTCATAAATGTTAGCATTTAGGAATTTCGTTTTCGTTGTTGAACATGGCAGCCGTTAATTGGGACTATTTTATTGAATATTCTTTTTTTGAGCAATCTTCTTTTTTTATATTCTCTTTTTTCTTTCTTCATAAATGTTAGCATTTAGGAATTGTCGGCCATTGTTCATGGTTTAATCCAAAGGAATTCTGCGGGGGGCACAGTCCAAGTTAAAACTTTATGGGCCTCAACTGTGTTTTCAAGCCGCTTCACTTCATGACTCCAGTGCCCAACCCGGGCAAATTCTGCCTTTTGTCTTGCCTAACTACATACATTAAAAGATTTTTGGCGAGCGAAAACAAGTTTTAGCAATTTTGCACATGAGAATGTAAATTTACCCTTATGGTAACTGTATTTTTTAATGAACACTGTATGTGAGGGGGGGAAAAACATAACCTACGATGCATGTTTGACGCAAATGGTGCTCCAAACAAGAGAGGCTTGTTGAAAGTCATGAAAGAAGTGCACTATATTCATATTCTGTAATTAATTAAATGAGTTTGTAGTCATACTAACATTACAACACATATTAATACTAAAACTACCCAAATCGTATATTTACGCAATTATAATATAGCTCATTTGTAAGCGCCTTTTGTAAAATTCATTATTATTTTGAGCTTTAACATTTATTTGTGTGACTACACTTCAAACTGTGGTTTTGTGTTTTATTTTAACACACAGGCAAACAACGTTTTCAAACAAAACTATGAGTAAAAGTGTAGGCTACTACATTCCTATGCCAACTGGTCGAAGGGTATTCCACGTTTAAAATATTTCTGAACTGATTATCGTGAAAGAAAACCAAATATATGAAGCCAGAAACTTAATTCGATTTCAATTCCAACACACGGGAATAACATTACGTTCGAGAGTTTATTAGCCTACATGCAACTATCAATTAACAAAGAGCATCACTTGCGAATTCAAATTGTAAGTATACATCACTGCGAAAGTGCCTCTTATGTTTCTTCCTGTCAGCTTTATTTTGAAGACTGTAGACAACAGCGAGAAAAAGGATAGAGAGTTACAGCGACACGAGATGTCTGTGACTTAATAGAACGAATCCATAAACATCAGAAGCCCTGGGTACTAAGGCGCGTTGGCTGTTAAGCATGCGGATGGGTTTCTCTCCAGCAATCCAAAGTGTCAACATAACCAACTGTGGTCCACTACAAGCACACGTTCATCAATGAAAAGTATCGCTCACTCCTCGACTTGAACATTTGCACATGCTGGCATACAATATTCTAAGAGGTACATGTCAATTTCTGCCCTTGGTCACATGACTGGCGCTCTCTGGAATGGATGGAGATGGATCTCCACGTCAGCTCACGTCTCAAAATTTCTACTCGGCGGATCTGCTTCAAAGCCACTGAAGCTGAAGCAGTCCTGTACTACGATGCGAGGCAGTACTATGGTTGTGGCGTGCCCAACCAAATGTCATGATGGATTTTGATGAGCGAGTACCCGTTGGGTCTAACATGTATTTGCCCGGCTGTACTTATTACGTGTCTGGAACGGAATTTTCCAGCCTTCCTCCTTTTCTGCCCCAGACCCCGTCTTCGTGCCCCATGACATACTCATACTCCACGTCCAGTTTGCCACAAGTTCAGAGCGTTAGAGAGGTATCTTTCAGGGACTATGCCATTGACACGTCCACTAAGTGGCACTCCAGGGGCAATCTGCCACACTGCTACGCGACCGAAGACATGGTGCACAGGGACTGCCTGGCCAATCCTGGAACTCTGGGGGACATGTTATCGAAAAACAACTCGGTTCTTTACCACTCCAACACGAGCCACACGGCCAACATGTATGGCAGCGTAGGGAGGAACGGAGTACTTCCCCAAGCATTTGACCAGTTTTTCGAGACCTCCTACGGGAACGTAGAAAATCAGCCGAGCGAGCACCCGGTGGACAGAGCAGCCAGCAAGGCGCCTCCACCCGCGGAAAGAGGCAGCGATAGCTGTCGGGGAGCAGATGAGACGGAGCGCTGTGAAGAGACGAGCAGCCCAGAGCCATCTTCCGGTAACAACGAAGAGAAATTCAGCGGCAGCAGTAGTACGTATTAAAGCAGTTGTGTGAGAAAGTTTCTGATGTAACGTGCTGTTGTTAAAGGTTTTATAAGCTGTTTTATACGCATATAAGGTTTATAGAGGGCCCTGTATATTTACCCTAACAAAACTTTGTTATAAACGCAAGATCACGTGCTTGAAATTGAAATTGGCCGTGAATGATAGGCCATTTCCCTTTGAGTCTTCAAAAGTATGCATTCCAGCCTTCATTACATGTTTGGACTTTTTGTTAATGCAGAGTTATTTGAGATAATTGAAATCCTTCGCTTATTTATCGCCTCTGAATGCATGTTGTACAACAGGGAATTTAAAGAGCATTTTTCTTAGGGATTGATATGGAGTTTCTGGTAAATATCAACTGATACATCTTTTCAGTTTTTCTTACGCGGCTATTTTTTTTTCTCTTTTGTGGTGAAGTTATGCATATGAAATATTAGTCTCCATTATAAGTTATTCATTATCAAACGACCCTGGACGAGTGTGTTGTTGCAAAACTTGATATTTCATTCATTTAAGGGCTAATTGTATAATGTGTTATTACTGATTTATCGTTTAATTAATTAATTACATTTAGATAACAGCAACAGTTTATGCATAATTTTGGAAAACGGCAATCGGGTGTATTAAGTTGTCTCTGCTGTATTAATTGAATGAGATTGTATATGATTTCTATGCAATTATATACAGTTACATGTCAAATATATTTAAAGTCTTCTTTAAATTTCAGATGGACAGAAAACACGGAAAAAGAGGTGTCCTTACACAAAATATCAGATCAGAGAGCTGGAGAGAGAATTTTTCTTCAGTGTTTACATCAACAAAGAAAAAAGGCTACAGCTTTCCAGAATGCTCAACCTCACCGACCGCCAAGTCAAAATATGGTTTCAAAACAGAAGAATGAAAGAAAAAAAAATAAACAGAGACCGTTTGCAGTATTACACCACGAACCCTTTGCTTTAGATTGCCCATTGCTGAGAAATCATTTAGGCGAGATGGTTCATTTCAAGTTGGATGCACATTCCGGCTGCTGCGAGACGATATGTGACCTTCATTCCTCTGAGAGACTTTTTCATCGTGTAAACATACATTTATATTATCAGTAATCTCTACCTTTTGAAATTAAAATTATTGTTATTATTATTATTATTATTACTTGTATTGTAATTTGTTATTATTATTTTTCCATTCTACACAGACTATTCAGTTTACAGGGATTTTATTTTTGTTATTACTATTATCTGACCAAGATCTGTACTTTTCGCATATGTCATATAGCAGTGGCTATATTCTTGAAATCTATTATGGTGGAAAAAAAATGTTGGGGAGGGCGAGATATAAATACTAGTGGAAAAGAAGGTGGTTAATAATCTGTTAAATACAGTTCCTTAATTGTGGTTTATATCATTAGACTTTGTTTAATTGAATAACGCACATTTCTTGAATATAACCTAAGCTTATTGAGAACTAAATGCATCACGCGCGCTATATTCTCTGATACTTGAATTGTGTGGACTTAAAGTGTATATTTGATATTAGGTGTCTTTACTGCGCATTAGTAAAATCGGGTGACTTAACAAGTGTGTTCAGAAATATCCCCCCCACCCCCAAAAAAAAGAGAGAGAAATTTTTATTTATTTTGAACGGGACATTGGGCATTAAGGCAAAAGCAATAACAGCATGGGACACTGCTTGAGTCCTCTGAAACCCCGAACCTGAATTGTATTTTCTTTTAGATTTCTGTGTTTCTCCACCTTTTCTCTAAAACGCGTGAAACTATATATCGAGCTCATTCATGTTCATGATAATCTCTCATGTTTATAACATCTCCTCAGTGTTATATAAATCAGTCTCCTGAAATATCTTGTGTTTTCTCTCTTTTTCCTGGAGCAGGATCAAATGTTTGATGGATCTTGCGTTATATTGCCTCCACGCTTTTCTTTGATTCAAGGATCAAGTGTTTGCCGTTATTAATGCCTATAGTATCCATTACGGAAATGCCCAAAACATGGCTGTGTAGGTCTCCATGAATCAAATGGTCTTTCAACAAATGGTTTTATGTCGACCTTTCAGATAAGTCTTTATATTATATTGCTATTTTGAAGTGGCATGTAACATCTATACAAAATTTCTTGAGAATTAAACTCTTTTTTCTTGTTTTTCTTGAACATGGAAAAAAAAGACTCTTGTTAGGCTACTTCATATAATTTTACAGTTTCCCCTGTATCAATATAGCTATCGATGATCCACTGCGAGAGGATCAGAAATTGATATGGCTTATGCCACTCAGAAGTCTTATAAAAAGGTCGACCATAAGATAATAACGACTGTTTTACGTGATGACCCTGACGGTTTGCGCATCCTTTGAGGCTCGATGGAATTTCGCCCTAATTACTGCACTTCCCCCCGTTGCTGCAGCAACTCGATCATAAAACCCGTCTTAGTCTGGAGCATTTGTAGAATTGGAGTGAGGTGCCATAAACCGTCTGAGAACCAAGGTTATTAACTGTGACTAAGAGCTAGAAAACAACGGCTGGAACCACTGAAAGCTTGTGTTCACGGACTTTTCCGCCATCATTTGTCTCAGAGTCCCATCATGGCACCACGACTGGATTGCTCACTATTTTGCTCCTCCAACGATACATTTCTTGTCCACTGGGTGACGCACTTTAGATCAATGTCATTGCCGGGTATCTAAAATCCATGCTGCAACATGTTTACTTTGTGTACGGGCAAAGGACAACGTCTTCGAGAACTATACAAGGCACTGTTTCAGGTAAATAGCAAAGTTACCATTCAGAAATTTTAGTCAGCATTGCATTTATTTATTATATTTTTAGATGATAGCAGCATATTAATGCTCAAAACGTAGCCTGCAAGTAAAGTTTGTTTAATGATAAAAACCTCTTAATTTAAAAAGTAGTACCACTTGTAATCGTTTTATTAGTCTCAGAGTATTTGTTTGTTCCTGACAAATCGACCAGAGATTCATTTTAAAGAGTTTTTTTTTTTTAATAAATTGTAGGAAAATGGGAGCCAACATGTTTTGATTCTTGATGGCTTTGTCTATAAGTTACAGTTTTACAGTTATGCATTTTTGTATTATTCTAAAATGTTTTCTACGCCATAGAAAAATCTAAAAGTCTTTTGCAAATTGTTGTGATATGTCAAATGAAAAATCTAATTATAAAATGAATGGTATTTATTGGCTAATTAAAATTCATTTACTTTACAAACAATAGCTAGGCCTACCCGTCCTAAGCCCTTTTGATTTCTTAATGCAGAAAGTACAAATAAATGTATTCCAATGATTAAAATTCATCTGTCAAGCCGAAAAGATAAGCGTTCAAATAATAATACATTTTCAGTAACGGCCCGTTTTTCTTTTAACATACATTTCAGCTTGTGTGATAAAAGCTCGTCTTTTATGGTGACATTAGTAAAAGCTTCCACTAGATAGTGTGAATCAAAACATGATTATTGGAGCAAGGACAACTTGACTAGTAAGAAAATTAGGTTATGGCTACTTTGGTAGCCTTTTTTTTCTAGACCCGAGTCATCTAATTACTCTAGTTGTGCTATTAGGTCGATATTTAAAATTGCATGCTAATGCTCATATGCATTTGTTATTTTTATCATAAATATGTTAATTCCAGCTATAGGACGATTAATCCTATACGAACAAAGAAACAGGCCTATTTGTGGATATATTCTGTGAAGTATTTTTGACAGCGTAAAAACCGTTTCAAGGAAAGTTCAGAGGTAGAGCAATAAATGACCATTTACCACATCACATTAAGCCACATAGGCTGAAAAAAACTCAATAAAAAAAATCAAACCTGAGAGAGAAATTTGGAATTATATTTCATGTAATTAAATGCAAATCAAATGACAAATATATACAACGGCGGTCTCGACATCACACAGGCTGATTTTGAGATAAATTATAATATCTCCTGAACGCCAAAGGTAGGCATAGGTAAATTTAATCACATACAACAATTGTGTTAAAAATGCTATTGTTAAATAATTTAAATGTTATGAGATCGTGGTTAGATTTATCTATATATTTAAATATAATAGTTTTTAATTGATTTTTTACTATTAACCCGTAACTGAACGTTGTAATTATAAAGCTTATATAGGCCTATATGTAACTTTAAGTTTATCACATCTTTATTTTACAGAATGGAAATCAATATCCACCCAATAATGTGTTTCTGAAAAGCAGATTGAAAGCCGCCTCTCGTTTTGAACTTGAGTGTAGCAAATAAATAGTTTTGACCCACCGCATGCATGAAAACCAGAAGATCAGTCTGTAACTCACTGTTTATGTGCTTAAAGGGCTGTTGGGGCAATTACAGTGTATCATAAAGGTTTACTATTTTAGCACTTGATCTCCTTTTCGATACCTTGTTGCTTTTTGGTTTTATTTAGGCTACGTGGCTCAAAAGGCTTTGCGGCTAATCGGCAATGTCGGTATTAACAAAGTCAGTGGTCGTAAACATAATGCTGTTCCCGTTAAATTCTGGTTTTATTCGTTTATATTTTCAGAAATGACTGATCGGGTTTATGTAGATTTGACTTAAAAAAAATGTAGTTGCTTGAAAAAGACATGGGACACCAGGGTTACGTGCACACAAAGGGAGGAGTCACCGGTGCTCGTTGCAATTTAATTGGCTGTTAGCTCACACTGAGTTGTATAGTTATCAGTAATTATATTCAGCATGTTTTGCACAAGAAATGTCATCCAGAAAGGGCAATCTTCTTCCACCGTCAAATTATACCACAAAGATGTCATGCTCCGATAGTCCATCTGGAAATTCGTTTCTGGTAGACTCCTTGATCCACGGAAGGGCCGAGGGAAGTGGACACTACTACCAAAACAGCGGAGTCTACTTGCAGCCGACCTCCGAGTATTCTTATGGACTGTCTAACTGTGGCTATTTTTCTGGACTCAAACGGAACGAGAGCAATTCGCAAAATGTTGTCCCTACGTGTGGGCCATATCAAGGCATGGAAACATGGCTGGAGACGTCGAGGTCCTGTCGCACTGAACAGCCTAACAACCAAACCACCCCACGGTCGTTCTCGCCCACCATAAAAGAGGAAAACTCTTACTGCTTATACGAGTCTGAGAAGTGTCCAAAAGACACCATTACAGAGGACATATCGTACTCCCGGCTGACACCAAACTCATGTCCATCTAGCAACAATAACGGCTGTGTTCCGGTACCTGGTTACTTCCGTCTATCTCAGACATACACCACATCTGAAAGTTTTCCAGACAACCAGTCTGTATCGACTCATGCTGCTGCTCAACGCTCTACCCGATTTGACAGCTCTCTTCCAGCCATAGGAGCAGAAGCGAGCAGGGAAGAGAGCGACGAGCCTCCCACATGCGCACCATGTGCCCCGGCAAGAAACAAGGAGCTAAGGGGGTCCACTGGCACCGCTTCATCTCCAGAACCACCGGACAGTCCGGAGAAGGCGGCCACTGTTACTAAAGGTTAGTTTTGTTGTTGCCCCATCCAAAGGATTCGGACGTCCTTAGGGCGCGTAAAAACATTAACGCCTTTGCGCGCGCGATAAATATATGGAATTGTTTTTCTGATTTTTATTTAACTGCATGTAGTATTAAAGTAATATTTCGGATTTTATTTTAAACACCTCATAAAGCTTTAGCTTGGCCAGATTTGGCAGCACAATCATATGCGAGAATCTTCTATTTAAAAAAAAAATACATTTCTGAGGAGGTCCAGGACGCCCAAACCAATTTAGCTAAAGCCCTGATGTCTGTAGTCCTCTCTGTAATCCTTTACACATAACACAGCATTCCTTCGTGCCAAATGCAATGTAACCTGGCCATTTTTCGTTTGCAAAGCTCACGTTTTAATAATAGCAAAAAGACTTTAAAACATATTGTTCACAAGATCTCATTTAACAAATATCTTTTCAAAACTCTATGCAAACCTTCACATAGCAAAACATTAATTTGCGTCAAACGCAGTGCTGACAGAT